CATAATCACATGCTAGCCATCTCAGATTGTCCTACAAAAGTCTTGGTCTTTTATTTTAACCGTAATTGTTAGCCCCTAGTAACCCGCCACACATGTGAAGGACTTGGTCCTCCTTCCCCTCTTTAGAAGCATTCTAGAAAATGTTTATTGTAAAAAATACGGTAATGATTGGTACAAGAGTTGACTAGGTACCTTTTTAATGAGCATGAGCTAGCTAGAAATATATATGTTTTCCTGGGGAGGATATTGAGTTGTACAACTAAAATTGAAGGCCAAGCTTTCTCCTTGATGCTTTGTCTAACCAAAATGCAAATGCATAATATTGCTATAACTCTCTGTTTCCTTGGCTTTGCTTTGCTCACCTTATTTGTTCTTAATACTACAGGAACTTCAAGTAGCGCTCAAAGCAATGCATCCTGCACTACTAATGATTGTCAATCCAGTGGATCCTGCACTGGATCTGAACACTGTCAAACCAACGCATCCTGCAGTAGTGAAGGCAACAAAAGATCTTGTAATGCAACAAGTGAAGCTAACAGCTCAGGAACGCCCCATCCATCTCCTTCTCTATCTCCTCCTACAAATCATGCAGGCCCACCAATCATTTGGCATGCTCCGCATGGACCACTTAATCCCTTTCCTCCAAAGGGAAAAAAGAAGCAGATAGGATTCCTAGTCGGGATAATTGTTGCAGTATTTGCTTGGATGCTTGGCTTAGGTTTCATTCTATTCTTTTTTTCTTGGAGGAAGCAGAAAAAAAATGAACAAGATGTTCTTCCCATTGATGTGTCCTTTGGTGATGAACTTGGGTTGGGACCTAAGGAGTTCTCTTACGATGAATTGTCAAAGGCAACAATGAATTTCGCAGATGAGGAGAAGCTTGGCCAGGGAGGGTTTGGAGCAGTTTATAAAGGTTTCTTGAGGGATTCAAATACAAATGTTGCTGTTAAAAGGGTTTCAAGGAGGTCCAAACAAGGCATTAAGGAGTATGCATCAGAAGTGAAAATTATTAGTCGATTGAGGCATAAGAATTTGGTGAAGCTTATTGGATGGTGCCATGAAAAGGAACTCTTACTTGCTTACGAGTTCATGCCTGGTGGCAGTCTCGATTCCTATCTCTTCAAAGGAAGAAGCTTGTTATCGTGGGAGACTAGATACAAAATCGTGCAAGGCATAGCATCAGCATTGTTGTATCTACATGAAGAAGGAGATTTCTGTGTACTGCATAGGGATATAAAAGCAAGCAACATTATGTTAGATTCAGCTTTCAATGCTAAGCTTGCGGATTTTGGGTTAGCCAGGCTGGTTGATCATGAAAAAGAGTCACAAACAACTATATTGGCTGGAACTATGGGCTACATAGCTCCTGAGTGTTATAAAACAGACAAGGCAAGCAAGGAGTCAGATGTCTATAGTTTTGGAGTTGTGGCACTTGAAATTGCTTGTGGTAGAAAGTCAGTAGAACCTACATATGAGGAGCAACAAGAATCACTGGTGGCTTGGGTTTGGGAAGCATATGGGAATCAAACGCTTCTTGATGTAGCTGACAAGAAACTCTCAACAGATTTTAATGTGAAAGAGATGAAGTGTTTGTTACTTGTTGGGTTATGGTGTGCACATCCTTCCCGTGGTATGAGACCGTCAATTAGGCAAGCAATCCAGGTGCTTAATTTTGAAGTAGCGCTTCCAAATCTTTCAAGTAAGATGCATGATGCTAATTATAATACTATCCCTGCCCCTCCGACCATTAGAATAAGTGAACCCGGTTCAGTGAGCATTACTATCCCTCGCTAATTTTTGTGCCAAAATTGCTACAAGTATTTTAGACTATTTCTGATTTTCATTGTTATGAAACTTATTTCCTCATTGTTTACCACAAAATCTTATATTGATCAATTGTTTGTTTTGTTTTCTAGTTGTGTAAGTATGGTTTCTTAATAGATAATTCTTCACTGTTTACCACAAAATCCTATATTGAGATTCTCCTGCATCTTGCTTTCCTTTTAGAGACTGACATATAACAATTAATCCCTAGAAACAAGGTTCTCTCCCGAAAACTCATCATCTTTTCTCATGGCCACGAGAGATCTTCATTATCCACTATCAAGTCGAAAATCTTGTACATTATCCATAACAAGATGTCCAATCACAGTAACATGATGGATTTAAAAAAGTTAAGGCATATATTATACCTTACACATTTAATGATTGTAATTAAATGTTTTGGTATTTTTAATGATAAGACGTCCTAATTTTTCTTTTTCTATATATATATATATGTGGTGACTTATAAATTTTAACCCAAATAAACAAAATAATGCATGGTTGCTATTTTTCATTCTCTTAAATCCATATGAAATAGTATATTTACATTTTTGATGACATGTTAAATTATCATTTTTTAACAAATTATAATTCTATTCTTAATTTGACAAATTTAAGAACTAAATTACAATTACTCATTTTTTTATTGCTATATGTTTCTTTTAATTGTCACAGTCAGCTGAAATTAACTACTCTAACGATACACGTTAAGTGAGGCGTCGATTTGCAAAAATAGGCCGGTTTTGGATCTTATACGCTTTTTTTTTGTTTAGGGGCTGATGTGATAAAACAGGGTAAGTTCAGGGGCTTACTAATGGATATTACCTATTTCCTTCCTTTCCTCTTTCCATGTTCCCTCCTAATTTTGTGCTAGGCATCTTAAGTAGTCCGGTGCTCCTAAGTCTTGGTCTTTAATTAATTTTAGCTTTCCATGTCAATGCCAATTACACGTTGAGCATGAAAATCATGATCTTCCTTTCCCTCTTAAAATACGTTAAAACGTTTTTTTATGTTAAAGCATATACTAACATTACAAATTATGCTTATTAAAGGGGATGTTCGACAAAACTTAAAAAGCATTTGTTTTAAAAGAAAATTTTTCTCTTGCAAATTTAAATTTTGTTGAAATGAAATTCAAGAGTTGATTTTTAATGTGGGTCTAAAGCAAGTTTTGAAAATGCTTTTTAATTTTAAATTTTATTCACATAATATGTGAATGAGGTGACTTAAAAAAATAAAAGAGGAGCGACTCTATTATGCAACTCAAGTTCAAAAGAAAAAAATATAATAATAACTCTAGATCTGATTATTGTCACCATAAGGATTGTTAAGGGCACCAATATTTTGAGTTTGTTTCTTAAATATTATCTAAAAATAGTAGCTTATTAATTGATTAATTTAATTTATTAACTAATAAATATGATTGTTCTATCAATTATTAATTAACTGTTACAATTATTAGCTATTTTGATATGCCAAATTAAACAGAATCATTAATTTTGAAAACAAAATTTTATAGATTTGATGGCCATGAGACTTTTATTGGCCATAGCCATCCCTGACAACCCTAGAACACTTTGTTTTCTCTGACCACTTTTAATTGGAAGTTAAAACAATTGACTTCCCAGTTGCCTTGAGATTGGAATCATTCTTCTTTTTAAAAAAACCAAAAAAAAAAAAAAAAGTTTGAGAAGACCTTGACTAGTTGTTATTGAACTAGCCACAAATATATTCTTCTGATGAATATTGAGTTGTACAAATGAATTGAAGGCTGAGGTTTCTCCTAAATACAGATGCGTAAAGGAACTATAGTTAGC